TCATCTGTAAAATAAGGTTAATAAAAACTGCCCTGCAAATCTCAGAGGAGTATTAGCAGAAGCAAATGAAGTGTTATAGGTCAAAATGCCTGGTAAGCAATGACACACTACATAAATGTAGGTGTCACCATTATTGGATGCGATTTTCATTTGCTTTACATTCTTTGAGACTTTCACATATTTTCAAACCCAGTGGATTCCCTCGAGGCCCTTGATGCTATAGGACTGTGGGGATTTAGTTCCTTGGGATTTCTGTTGAGTAATTCTGCACATAACCAACAGGGCATTAAAAAGCAGGCATCTATCTATTTTTCCAAGATTTTCGTTCTTTTCCTTTAGTGTAATATATCAGAAACTTTTAATTTTATAACGAAAGGCACTGTTTGTGAATTTTCTTTTATTTTAAAAAAAGTAGTGGAGGACTACCCCAGAGCTTCCAGAAAACAAAAGCCACAATATCCATGATTAAGCAAAGGAGGCTACATGAGATTTGGCAGGAAGGATAGCGGGTTGGGTTGTTACTTATCAAAGGAATATTTGCTGTTGGCCTTAGTATAATAATGTTAATGAGATTATTAGGTGGGGGAGATTTTTAATAAATAATTGATAAGGATTAGAAAGTGCCTTTTCTGCAAATAAACTTCAGAATAATTAATATTCATGGACTCTGTTTGTCAACAGAAAAATGTAAATGAAGAGCCGGTCCCATCACCAGACACACGTCCTGAAGGACATCTGTAAGATAGGGTTAAAGATAGAAAAGCTGAATGCAGAGGCCTGGCCCAGACCCCAGCCCTGTGTGTCAATACAACTTTTCACGTCGTTACATACACATTTTCCAGTCTGTGTCTCCCTCTGAAAGAAACCCTGAATTTCAGGTTGCTAATAGATTGTTGGTTGCAAGTATGAAGGACAGCGGAGGTAAGAGAGAAGGCAACTTGCTAATGCAAAAGCAGTGTACTGAAAGTCACTTTTATTTCTTATTTATAATCTACATGCACGCTCTGGATAATAGATGACACTGCTCATTCAGTACTTTAACTTCAAAGCAGAGAGAAGCCATGGATGACAGAGCCGGGAGCGGGAATACAAAGGTACTAACAACAAGAGGAAAAATGCCTGTTTACGGGATTGCATTTGTTAGCACGCTCTCTTCAGATATTGTTCCCCCAGGAATAGCGAAAATATGTGCAGCGCGAACAATGATTTAACATCTGAAAATGGTACTTAAAGAGTTTCTGTCTGGTAGTAATGTGATGAAGGCTTCTGGAGGGAACCTGGGGACTTCATTTCTTCTATTTATCTATATGTCTCTCTGGTTTTAGTCAGCAGTAATTGCATATTTAACCCCTCAAACAGCTTTAACCCTCACGATGCCAACTTTTTACCCCATGCAAAATGTGCTTTTATCCCAGCAAAGGCAGATTCAGAAATTCCCTTGCCAAAAAATTATTTAAATTAAAAAAAAAAGCGAGTGTGTGTTTGTATGAATGGATGGAAGGCTGGATGGATGGATGGCTGAAAAGAAGTTATAGCAGCATTTTGCAGTTAGATTTGGGTGAGGAATCATGCCCACCTTCCTGGTTTGGAAGAAGACCAGTTAAAGTACAGATATTATGAAGAGTGAAAACTCAAACAAAAAGAAGAAACAAAGAAAGACGGACTAAAACAACCGTGTTTTTATTTTGAATTCATTGTGGCTGGAGCTCAGAGAGGAAAAAGAAGGCCCCATGGAAGGAAGTTGTAGATGGACGCCGAATCAAGAGTATAAATTTGCCGCTTGCCTCAGCAATATGGTTTTCTCAATTAGTGGTCGTTCTGGGAGGCCTGCTTAACAGCTTATGCGAAACAAATATTAACACAAATTGTATAATTACATCAAAATCCCAAATTCCTCAAAGATGCAAAATGGTTTTCAGCTAAGAATACGCGAGCAATAAAACATCCTATAGTCAAAAGAAGCACACTCCAAGGAAACCATGAAGACTGGATCCGAGCGACTTTCACAGTTTATTTTCATGGTATTTAAATTATGATACCAGTGGGTATTTTTAATTAGTGTGCACTTGTCTACATAAGCCATGTTGGCAAATTTGACTCATTCATACAGTAGTTGCTGTAAAAGAGGCCAGCACAGCCTGCAGGAATTAAAATTAAAAGTTTCTGCAAGCTGTTGTCGACATGACCATATCTCATTAACTTTAAAAATGGAGATTATTTGCCTGAAAGCTTGATTTGACTAGCAGTAATCAAATATTAGGCTCAACGGAGTGAGGGGTGTGGGGGGAGTGCCATTGTTGTGATATATACCGCTAAGTGTTTTGCAGTTAACTTTAAATAGCAATATAAGATTTTTGTTTTGACAAAAGGGATAGGAGAGAGAAACACAGACATATGGCCTCGAAAGTATTATTAGGACAGTTTTATTTTAGATTAAGACTTATTATTTACTAAGTTTGCTGAAGATAAATACGATTGTGCTGATTACCAATTCTTCTCTCATTAAGGAGGCTGATTAATTATCCGGAGTAGCTCCCCCTGCTTGATCAAAGTTTAAGTATTGGAAATGGGGCCTATCTCGTGATTATCTTTTCTTTTTTCAATGCTAATTGGCATGAACCTTAAATTTGTACATTCGATTCATCCCATTGTTTTAACTAAATATGATGAAGGAGGTTGCAAAATTGTGCGTAAAATGAGCCAAAATAGAAGAGCCTTCTTCTTATCTACTCTTTAAAGAGCTTGTTATTTGAATTAGATATCTGAGCAAAAAATCTTTTTTTTTTTTGCCAGTAATTAGGGAGCCTAATGTTGAAAACCTAAAGTTACTGAAATATGGTAGACATGGGCTCATTTTAGACCCTGTTTTATATTTTCTCAGGCACAAAAGAACATTTGTAATGCATAAGAATAAACTATAAGATGAAGATACATTTGAGGTGGGGGAAGGAAAGAAAAAAGGTGCAGTTAAACAAAAGCCAGAAGATAAAGTCTTACACCTTTTTATGTCTTTGAACTGAGAACATGCTCTGCATTTTACTAAAGGAACATGAAGCTAGAATGTAAGTAACTGGTTTTTGCATTAGGCTCTCCCTGGAGGTAGCAGAAAAATATCATGTCCCTGCATGAAATGTGAATGTGAAATCTACCAGAAAGAAATATTTATGACCATTTTATGCTTGATTAGGCTTGGATGACATCTGTTAGAAGACAGGGACTGGACAAAGAGAGAGACGCTCGGGGGCAAATGTTAACGGAGTTGTTTAGAAGACGCAAGGGCAGAGGCGTCCATTTACTGCCAGGCAAAACACAGGAATTGTGTTAGCAAGAGTGCAGCTGACAGGCATCCACTGTGATGGAGACACTGTAAACTGAGTTGATGAAATAGTCAAATACAGCTGTTGATAGTCACTGCACCGCCTCAGTTTATGAGCAGGTATCTAGGCTCAACCCTGATCCAGTAACTTCCAGGATACTGGCACCTTAATCAAGTTACATAAATGTGACTCAGCTGTAAAAAGAGCTCATCTTCACTTTTTCAAGTGAGTTTTACACTCTCCTCCCATGCGGACTCAGCAGTACCGAGAAACTCTTCTCTATTTCTCTGTGAAAGGAGAAATAATTAAATTGCAAACTTACTTCTGTACCCGTCTATAACCTGTCTCTTTTCTTAAGTTTCCCCTGTTTAAAAAAAGAAAATTCAAGGCCCCTTAGTTCTATAGAAGTACTTCATCACTTTAAACAGTGCAAATGTTTGCCTAAAAACGGGGGGAAAAGTTTTCCAGCACTGGCAAACATTTTATCAATTGTTAAACATTTCACTGTTAAAGTAAGTGCTGTTTGTCTGAAGAAATGGCTCTACCAAGAGTGGAGGTATGAGCAGTTATTTCATTCTGGTTCTTTTCCCAGCTTCTTTTCCTGTAAATTTTCTGTCTGGAATGCTGATGGGAAATGTTATTTTGTTTTTGTTTGCAGCAGTTCTGTTGTTTTGATTTTGTCTGAGTGGTATGGAAAACAGTACGTCACTTAGAGTGGGTGTTTTGTCTACCGGCCATTTGGCCATTGCACATATATTTCTCATACTTATTACATGATGACAAGGGAACCGACAAGGCACAATTTTCCAGTTGAATTTTTCTTTCCAGTTTAATAATAGTGAAAAAAGAAAACAAAGTTAATAGATTTAGCAGTTTGATGGTACTCATGATGTGATAGCTGACTTTTTTTTTTTTTTTAACTCATTCCTTGTGGTTAAGGAGGTATTTAGGTAAAAGTCAGATTAATGCATACATCAGTTTCTGTAATAAACTGTATGTGGTTAGTGTTTCACATTTTGCATAGAGTTGCAAAATACGGTAATTTAAGCAGGAAAATTCATAAAAGGATAATAAACAATGTTAACATCATTCCTATGATTAGCCTGGGGTACTCTTGCCCTGGTTTTAGGCCACATGTAACAAACCTCTATCAATAAATGTGTCTCAATTAAAATTATTTGAAATGAAATTTGGATGAAAACCCAGCATACAAATCTCAAAGAATAACTTAAGGCTGTTTACTGGCTCAGTTTGGACAGGCTTTATCTGAAATCATTCTCAGCATTTGCAATGTTAAGGAACATATTGCAGGAGTGTAGAAGTTAGCTCTACGAGTAAGTAATTTTTAGTGTAATACAAAAATATAAAATGGAAACCATGATTAATTTTTCAGTTTCTCTCTGCAGATGTCTAATCATTGTACCCATGGACCGCCAAAGGCTCCCATTAAAGATTTAAAATGCAAGAGGAAGGTAGAATCCAAAAGATGGGATTTGGGATTAAATAATGTAAAATAACTGCAGGGCAGTAATGAAGTAAAAGCTCTTGGTGCAATAAGACATCCTCTTAGACTTTTTTGGGATCCACTTAAAATATTGACACTGACACACAGTGTCAGAGATGTGATATAAATAAAATTATTTGTAACTGGTTAAGTTATAAAACCATGTTTTTCATCTTTCCGACATTAGCTTTCACCAAATAATAATAATAAATAATAATAACAACATCAACAAGAAACTATCAGAAAAGCTCTCTGAAAATTCACGCGTGCTCTCTTACGCTTTAAATACTGCCCTGTTATTCAAGGATTTTGCCTGCAATGTTATAATGTATGTTGTTTCTTCCTTGAGGATTTTAGTTATAGATGGGGAAACGCAATGGTTGGGGGTCACCTGTGTATATACAGCGTGATTTTCTTCAAATCCAGGGAACTTTTATAATCTGGAAGAAAGGGACATCACCGCCTTCGTATATAAAAGCTGTCAGTGCGGTCCAGCCGGGCTTCTCCAGGCTCTGCTGTACTGTCTTTATCACTTTGCTCAGTTCCACATAATAACATCTTCATCTGAGATTGCTGTGGCACAGGGGAACTGCATTTGTTGATCAAATTTGGCTGGATAACACTGTGATCTCGTATCCTGAAGTGCGGAGATGTGCCTGGAATATGTAAGTGCAAAGCTGGCCTCTTGATTGATTGATTCTGCCTGTCACAGAACAAGATAACCGGATCAGTAAATACCCTGTGCACTTCAACATCATCTCCACAATCAAAAGTGAGGGCATCACGGGGCTGGAAAACACTGGAGCATGATGGGAATGCACACAATTCAGAAGGATCATCAGGAACATATATATGTACACACACACACACACACACAAAGAAAAGACAAATCTTTGTGTGTGTGTGTTTTTTTTTTTAAGAAAAGGACAGCATAAAAAAGTATTTTCTGTATGTTTAGAATGCTTTCTCGTTGTAAAAGTAGTTTATTTTGCAGCTGTCATCTTGGAGGTGTTCAGCATTTATCATAAAAAGTTGTTATTCAAGTTTTGTTTACAGAAGAGATTTAGAATGCAGATTAGGGAAACGGAGCTGGAGAAGAGGCCAGTAGTGGTCTCAAGCACAAAAGGAGCTTGCACCCAAGAGTTGCTCCTATTAAAATAAACAAGAAGTTTAAACAGATGGGCCAAACACATGTAAACAAGTTGTTTAAACTTTTTACTAAATTCCCAGGGAGTGCCTTTCAAAATTAGCACGGGTTGCCAAATTTGGTGTTTAATTACACAGAAAGTTCAAGAAAAGTTTAAAGAATGGAACTGTGTGAATCTTTGGAAGATGGGGGTCTTAACAGGTCCCCAGGTGTCATTAATGATTCATGGTGCCCTGATGGTCACGTTAGTGGCTCTTGTCACCGCTCCCCCCTTGTTTATGTTGCCTCTCATGTACTGGTCTTTTCCTCTCATAAGACTATAAGCTCCTTGAAGGCAAGGGCTGCCTTTTCTTCCTGTGTCTATGCCCCCATTTTCCTGGAAGACTCCCTGCGCATACTACACAGAAAATGGCAAGTGGGTGAAGGAGGCGCTAAATATTGGGCTGTCTTCTTAAGTATTTCTCAGAGTGATTGTTACTTCCCGAGATATTATTGGTCCCCAGAATTTGGCTAGTGTTTTAACCTAGAGTCATTCTTTTGGGGAACTTGTTTTCTTAATGTCAAGCAATCCAGTGAGCCTTGTTTAGCCTTCTGTCCTCATACAAAGTGAAAGAATGAGTTGAGTTGCTCAAACATGGTGCTTCTGTTACCAACAGTGACACAGTTACTTGATGATCACGTTGCTTCTCATTCTACAGCGTGGACCAGTGGCTGATGGAGCATGTTGCCTGCCTCACCTGTGAATTTTGCACAGACCTCCAAGTGGTTCGTGGCATGCCATGTGGCATTCTGGTTGTCTCGGATGTCTTTGGGTGGGTGATGTCTAGACCATTCTGGCCATATTTTTTCTTTTTTTGTTTTGTTTGGCTTAAATCAACACCTGTCCCCTTCCTAGTCTGCCTCCATGGACCACATGGCAAATTTAAGGCAAGGCAAGGTGGGGTTTAGAACCAGTCATTAAGACAAGAAACTTCTGTCTTCGAAGTAATTTCTCCCGTGGAAGGAAGGTATACATTAGTTAAAACAAACATTTCAATAGAGATTTTTATATAGCGAAACCAGCTCTCACACTTAAGAAAAAATTATTACCACTTTTGAAATGTCTGATTAGTCCTTTGTGACTGACTTGTTTTTTATTCGAAATGATTAAAAATGCCTTTTGGCAGAATTGGCCTCCTTTCTCAATTTTTTGAATATAAAGAAAGCTTAAATGAGGTAAACGTTCATTAAACAAAAAAATTTGTGAGGTGCTGATGATTTTAGAGAAGTCATTCTGGGAAACAGGTTTTGATTTTTTTTTTTTTTTTAAACATAGCTTTCAATTTGGTAAAAGCTATTCCTAGTAACGTTTTATAAAATCATTTTCTTTTCAGGGTGTGTTTTATTTCCTTTCCATCCCTTTCAGGAAAGAGAAAGTGTTTTATTGGATATTTTTGTTTCAGTTCTTGTTTCCATTATTTTTGCCAAAATTCATGGGAGTTCACTTTCCGTTTAAATGCCTGAAATATTCCTTGAAGAATCTGCATTTTGGGATAGCTAGGAAAAAGGCTATGTAAATTGGTTTAAGGGCTATGTAAATTAGTTTAAGGAAGAAAATAACAGTTGTTACTCTGGTCATCTTACCCACTCACTTTTTTCTTTACTTTATAATTTTGGAGGCAAATAACTTCAAGTATAATGCACTGGAGTGTGGGAAGAAGGGGACGTTTGGATTTGAAGTTCAAAGAAAGTTTGCTGTTGGTTGTATGATAAAACATATCTTAGTTTCCAAGTGAAGGGAGAAAGTAAGCTTTATTCATTGAAAAAATGGTGAATAGATTTATTATAAGAAAACATAAAACAGGTCTCTAAAAAATGTGTACTTGTGAAGAGATTAGCTACAAGATTTTGGTGAAAGTAGTATTTCCCCTTTTGTGAATAGACTTTCTATAAAAATGTATTAGTCTCTGGGAATTAATATTGGGAAGTTTTTGTTCAAATTCCATTCACTGTTTCTAGCAATGTGTTTTCTGCTTTGGAGCCAACTGTGCTTTCATTACTTTAAATGCAGCAGTCTAAGTTGTAGGTAGCATCCATGTTTATTTCTAGCCCTAACGCGGAAGAGAAACCATCTGATTATATGGGCTACTCATTACTTTGGAACCAACCCCATCTATTTCTTTATTTGGGGGTTGGGCTGATGGCATGGGATTGAGCTTTCGTCTGTGGAGAATTTTACAGACAGACTCATGTTCCGCCAGGCAGACATTCAGCCCTTGATCTTCTCACAGTCGCCATGGTGAAGGAGAGAGAGCCCTTTCTCCGCACTCTCTGTGGACTGCTTTCTAACTTTTCTATTGTCATGGGAGAAAATTTTTAAAACTGATTAAAAGGGGGCAAGTGCGTGGCTTCTATGAAAACCCTGCCGCTCTAAACTGTGGGACTGCTTGAAACTGTTTGTTTTGGCTGGCCTCGGTGGCAAGACTGACATATTTATGTAGCAAGCTCATATGTAATATTTAACTTGGAATTTTACACATAGGAATGAGGAACTAAACAGAATATAAGGTTTTGTTGTTGTTGTTGTTTCCCTGCTTGTTCTGAAATGTGAGAAAATACCGAGTTGACAAGTTTCAACATGGTCACCTCTTGCTTGGCCAGCACAATTCATAATTACCCAAATTCCTTGATAATGCTGCAGAGATGGGGCACTGAGCAGCCGCCACGTTTGCTACGCAAGAGAGTTAATAAAATTTTTCAGTGCTGGAGGAAAGCTTATATACAGTAGTCTGTTTGTCCTGTGTTTCCACCACCTGAGTCACAGCCAAAAAAGCAATTGTCTACTACATATTTCAAACAGATGCTGAGGGGTAGAAAGGGTGACCAGAATTCACAGCAATAAAATCCTGCTCTCTAAGTTCCCTTGAAGGAAGTGAACTCATAAAATTTTTGCTGCTGACTTATTTGTCCACTCCTTTGAAGTAGTTAACATTAATTTCACCTACAAATCATTGGCACCTCAATTTTTCATTGAAGTATCAGGACTGTTAAAGACATACTCTGGATGTGCCTGGATAAAAAGATTTGGGAAGCAGATCCACTAATTTAACTGTTATTCATGTGTATTGTTTTTATTGAAACCAATCCTCGTTACCGTCAAAGTTCTCTAACTCAAAGTCTGTTTTCTTTCGAGTTTGTATTTGTTTGTGCGTATAATTACAGAAAACGCATTTTAGATGCAATACCAGCTTGCTTTTTCCATTTCTTTCTGTTGCATTGATACATCTTCTAATAGGGAAAGACATATGATGGTACTTGGAAAAATGATGACAGCTGTAACTGGAATAATAAATGCTACCGGGAAGATTTTATCAAATGTAAAAAATAAAAATGAAGAGATCAACCTTCAACTTAAGTACCCAGTAGCTAGACTATCAGTAGACAAGGTCTCCTACCTCATTAATCTGTGGGATTTGATTAATTAACATATGTGGATAAAGAGGTACTATGTTCCAAAGGAAGCTTTTTGGGTTCTTTTTCCACTTGTTGGTAAGTAACAATGGGTGGGTTATAAGCAATTGCTTGTTTCCCAGGCTTTCTAAAATAGCTATTTGCCATCTCTTCACCCCACCTCTTCTCTAATTCCTTAGAGCTTCAAAAACTTTGAAATGACCTCCTTTCAAAAAAGGTTAAAAGATGCCAAGTGTGGTGGGTCATGTTTGCAATCCCAGCACTCTGGGAGGCTGAGGCAGGAGGATCATTTGAGGACAAGAGTTTGAGACCAGCTTGGACAGCATAGCAACACCTTGTCTCTACCAAAAAAAAAAAAAAAAAAAAAAGAGCTGGGCATGGTAGTGCATACCTGTAATCCCAGCTGCTCAGCAGGCTGAGGCAGGAGGATCACTTGAGCCCAGGAATTTGAGGCTGCAGTAAGCTAGGATTGCACCACTGTACTCCAGCCTGGGTAAGGAAGTGAGACCTTGTCTGTAAAAATAAAGAGCTCAGAAGAGGTCTCAAAGAAGGGAATGAAGCAACCAATGGGGCAAATTAAGCTTGCAGGTGCCAAAAGCATGTAGCCCTTTAATTTCCATTTGACAATTTGAGGACTTCCCTGTACTCGCTAAAGTAGTTCCTACACACATCACCATCCCACTCCCTGTTTGATTTTTTTTTTTCTTAGAGAAAGTCTTACCCTGTTGCCCAGGCTGGAGTGCAGTGGTGCAATCATAGTTCACTGCAGCCTTGAACTGCTGGGCTCAAGCAATCCTCCTGGCTCAGCCTCCCAAGTAATTGGGACTTGGGCATGTGCCACCATGCCTAGAAAATTCTTTTTGAATTATTATTGGTAGAGATGTGGGGCTGTCACTTTTTTGTCCAGGCTGGTCTTGAACTTCTGGCCTCAAGTGGTCCTCATGCCTCAGCCTCCCAAAGTGCAGGGATTATAGGTGTGAACCATCACACCTGGCCCCATTTAATTTTTATCACAATGCTTACTGTTTGCTGAAGTTATCCTAGGTAGATTTGCTTATAATTTTGATGCAGGATATTATCTTGATCCCTTCGCAGGACCCGTGACAGGATGACGGGGGTGACCTGTTTACTCAGCCCGCCATGCTCAACCCCTCGCAGGAGGGAGCATGTAGATAGCAAGTGCGGGAGCCGGCCAGCTGCTTAGGCACCAGCAGGGGCAGGCCCTTGGCGGCTTATAGGTGGAGGTGCCTGCGACCTCAAGTCCCCAGAGGGTGTGTTACAGTGCTCTCTTAGCTCTGCCATCCATGGACAGCAGTATGTTATCAGCTCAGTAGGCCCTTTTCCTCATCACGTAGGACAGCTGTCCTCCACCATTGAGGGCAGAGGGCCACTGTGGCAGCCCTTTTGGGTACCTGCACTTGGTGGGTACCAAATTCTTGTCCAGTTCCCAAGAAGAATGAAGTCATACAGATGAATTGAAGGATGGTAAATGCAGAGAATTTTATTGAGCAATGAGAGCAGCTCTCAGCAGAGAGGGGAGCTGAAAAGGGGATGGGAAGGGGTCAGGTTGCTCTCCTCTGAAGTCAGGCTGCCTTTCTGCCTCCCTCCTCCAAAGTCAAGTTGCCTCTGTCCAACATCTAGCCATCTCTGAACTCAATTTGCCTCTCCTTGATGTCCAGCCACCTTTCTCCTCTACCGGCTGAGTTTGGGGTCTTTATAGGCCCAGGATAGGGGGCGGGGTGGGTTGTAGGCAGTTTTGGAAAAGGCAACATTTGATTGGTAAAAAAAATATATATATATATATATATATTCAGAAAGAACCAATTGAGAGAGAGCAGGCAAACAGAGATAGAAGTTCTCACTTTGGGCTGAGGGTTTCAGGCTTTTCAGCTTGGAGGTGGGGCTTCACCAGGCACCTGCCCCTGTCTTCCTAGAGTTTCTGTGCCTCCTGTCTCTATCAGTTTGACTTTTGCCACTGAATGTAAGTTCCAGTGAGGTGGGGACCTTGTTCATCATGTTCTCTTCTATATCCCTGGTGCTTGACAAATAGTAGAAACCCAATAGATACTGAATTGGGATGGGCCGTTATTCAAAACATCTTAACCGTCTTAACATTGGATGTCTTAATGGTACTGGCTCCCCCTTCAGTCAGAATAAAACATCTAAAAGGATCATATGGACAATGCTTATATCAGAAGAGATGTACGAACAAAGGCTGTGGGAAGCAGTGGTTAATCAGAATTCTGGGCTAGTGTTTAGTTGCATTTGTCCTAGTATTTTGGCCAGGTTTCAGTTAGCTAAGCATCTCTTATACCCTGTAATTTAGTGTATGGTTTCAGCTTTCCAAATAATGGCTTGCTAATGGTAAATGTTGTTTAACTTTCTAATTCAGGGGAGCTACCTGTTCAGCAGAATTTTAAAAAATTGTAAGTGATGATTGAAACCAGGTTAAAAAGCACTTAAGGTACATCTGACTGTATGTTGGTGACTACTGCGATCAGCCTGTGGCTATCATTATTCTTTTTGACTATGCACGTAAACTGCAGGTAGGGATTTTTCCTCAATTGGTCCAGAACTAAAAATTAACCTATACTAAGATTGCTTTTCCCTTTTGGGTGAATAATGCATCCTTCTTTTAGTCGCTGTGATATGGAATGTTGACTCACTTTCTCTCCAGTGCCTTCAATTATAGATGCTCATCACTGTTGATTTTTATCTGTGTAGTGGTTCTTGCGACTTCCCTATTCCCTCTAAGGACATCTGAATGTGTTGTCAAGTGATGCTAAAATTATAACCACTTAACAAATCTCTGTATCCACTGTTTTTGTTTATCCCACTCATCAAAATTTGGTTATTCTCTGTGAAGCACAACTCTGGTGGCGTCATTGTCTTGCTCCCTGCTTCTTAGGAAATTGAGTTTAAATTCCCTTGCTTGACATGCAGGGAATCAGATGGATTAAAAGTGGCCACAGATTCTTTCTCATTCCTTTCATCAAGAGGTAGAGTCTAAGTGCCTTCTCACATTTACTCTGGGCAGCTGCGCTTTTCACTTGCAGTAGAATGCAGCGGAAGTGACACTGTGCCAGTCCCAAGCCTGGTGGCTTTCTCTTTGTTCTGTAGGAACATGCTTGTCACTGCTATGTCAAGAAGCTTGGCCCAAATGGCTGAATGATGAGAGGTCATGTGGAGAGAGAGGAGAGAGGATGAGAAAGAGAAAGAGACAGACTTGAAGAACTGAAGTACCCACATCTTGGAGGCCCAGATAAGCTACCAGCTGAATGCAGCTGCATAAATGACCCCAGCCAAAGAATCGCCTAGCTGAGCCCAGCCAATCCCCAGAATTTTGAGAAAAAACAAATTGTTATTTTAAGCTTCCTGTGTTTTAAGATAGTTTGTTACAAAGGAATAGGGAACTGAAATGGGAACCTTGGAAAGCAAGCCTCAATTTATCCTCCCATTCTTATTCTACATTTTCTTAGACCTTCTAAAATGTCAGGCACGTGTGACTCACAAACCCACAAAAATGATTAGTGCTTCTCTTTGCTTAGACTATGCCTTACTCCTAGAATATGTTTATGCTTTGTACCTGGCAAATTCCTTAAGTTCAGTCACCCCCCTCTTCGGTCTTTTCCAAGGCCCCTGTGACTCAGTGACTTCTGACGTCTCTCAGGTCTCTGTAGTTCAATCTATATTGGTATGGGGTTGGGGGAAAGATGATCATTAACTATTTGAGCAAGTGACATTCTCTATGGAGGCCTTTGTTTCTACACTTGTATTAATTATCTGGCTGATTTTTCAAGTCTCTCTCAGCCTTCAGTATTCTAGAACAGAGGCCCAATAAAATGCTGTGCATTGGTCATGGAATTGTTCATTTATCTGTGTTGTCCCTTGAGGTAAGCACTAGCCAGTGTAGCTGTGGAGCACCTGAAATGCGAGTGCAACTGAGGAACTGACTTCTTTATTTTTATTTAATTGTAATTAATTTCAATTTAAATAGCCACATGTGGCTAGTTGCTACCATTTGGGGTAGTAGGGTTTTAGAATTCTCTGGAACTCAAGTGGAAATATCTGTTTTCACTTAACACCAACAGAGGTTTATCACTTGATTTTCACAAGATTACCAGCATTTGCTCTTTTGGATCAGTTTTTAGGACCACAGATAAACTAACGACCCAGTGGCCAAAGTTTTCCCAGTACCTGACCAGCTCCTCTCTTACCTTAAATTTTCTCTGGCATTTAGAATCCTCACCTCCACTTAGAGCCAGTGCTGAGACCAGTTATCTCTAGGAGTGTAAATCATCTTTCGATCACAGCCCAAACAGAGACCAACAGGCTAGTGTGGAGTTGCAGTGTTTTACAAAACCCCAATAGGCCCAAGTTGGGGGGAAAAATAAATATATATATGGTAGTGTCAATTGAAAACCAGCCGGGTAGCAAGCACAGTGTAGTGAGAATGGAGCTGCCTTCAGCCCTTTGGACGATTGGGGACACAGTAGAGATATTGCGAAATTACCTTTTTTATTGGTTCTTGAGCCTTCTGCAGTAAATGCCTCTTCTTGAAGGAAGTGAACAGAATCCTTGTGTTCAGCTTGAACTTAGCACATGTGCATGACATTTCTACCCTTAATCTGTAATTCAGCAGAGTCAGGACCTGTGACTGCCTTACATTTGGGCTAATTTTTCTTTTGAGCGTAACTGTGTTAACTAGGTCTTCTTTTCTTTTGCTTATGTTTATTGTCATAAAAAAAATCAGTAGAAAAGTTGCATCCATTTTATTGCATTATAAAGCATTAGCATTGATAAACCCATCGTGTGTGGATCTTGCTAGATCTTGATTTTTTTTTTAACCTCTTGTAAGGTAGGAATGGAATACTAGTAAAGCCTTCCTGCATTTATAAACCAAAAGTTGAAATATCATAGAAAGGACTGCTGAAGGTCAGTTGGTCTCAACTCCACCTCCCTCTACCCAATAAGGGCTATTTATAATCAAAGAGAATGGGTTATTTGTGTAAAAAGCTCTCCAGGAAAAGAAATTCGCCAGCCTCCCTTGATGAAGCTGGGTCCCGTCAAGGAACTTACTCTTGAATCTTACTCAATTCACTTGCTAGCTCTCTTTCTTCTGCTGCAATTTAAGACAATTTCCTCTGTCCTCTCTGGTTATAGAAAATAACTTGTTGGCATCTCCTTTGTAATAACCCGTCGTATACTTGAAGGCAGTTATTAAGTCACCCCTTAGCCTTCTCTTTTTCAGGCTAAACCATCATAACCCTTTTAACCTTTCCTCGGAGGCTCCATTTTCCATCCTCTTAATCATTTTACTTGCCCTTCTCTGGATTCTCTCCAATCTTTTACAGTTTTCTAAAAACATAAAATCAGGAAGGAGGTCCTTTATGCATTGCTCTAAGTTTCTGCTGATTTTCATGCGTTGTTTTTCTTTTAATTTTGAAGTACTTTTCAACTTTTTTTTTTTTTTTTTGAGATAGGGTTCTGCCCTGTCACCTGAGCTGGAGTGTAGTGTTGCAATCATGACTCACTGCACCTCAGCCTCCTGGGCTCCAGGGATCCTCCTACCTCAGCCTCCAGAGTATTTGGGACCAATGGCATGCACCATCTCACCCAGTTCATTTTTGTATTGTTTGTAGAGGTGGGGGTCTCCCTATATTGTCCAGGCTGGTCTCGAACTCCTAGACTCAAGTGATCACCCACCTTGGCTTCCCAAAGTACTGGGATTACAGGCATGAGCTACCTTGCCTGGCCCTTTTCGACTGTTTATTTCCACATTCAAGGCAACCTTTGATAATGTAACATATCAGGATTTGTGATCACCATTTACTTTTTTTTTTTTTTGGAATGTGGTCTATGGACTGAAAGAATTCCAGAGGTCAAATGACTTTACCTTTCAGTCTGTGTTTATATGTTAATTTGGGGTCCTTTTAGTTTACTTCTCGTATGTTATTTACATGAAGACTTTCTCTGTTGCCTGTACCATATATGAAAAGTTTTAGTGCAGAGCATTCAGTAGGCAGTGAAAAGGGAACATGCTTTGATTACTGAGCTCTCATTGGTTTCATGATCCCTGCTCACCCCTGCCTAAATGGCAGTGTCTTTGTCATCCGTACCTTAGGATGAGTGCCTCAGAGGGACAGCTCAGGGGCCTCCTAACTTTGTCTGCACTTGTCTTTCCCTTTCTGCAGGTAAGTAGATAACATTCCCTGGGCATCGTTTATTACATCACCTACTTGTATCTTCTGACAAGCTCAGGCTCTGCAGTTACCACTTTCACTTATTTATCTACTACGTGACTTCTCCCCTTCACTCTTTCTCTTCTTTTTTCTTTTTTCTTTTCTTTTCTTTTCTTTTCTTTTGTCTCTCTCTCTCTTCCTTCCTTCCTCCCTTTCTCTTTCTTTCTCTGTCTCTCTCCCTTCCTCCTTTCCCTTTCCTTTCCTTTCCTTCTTCCTCTTCCTCTTCCTCTTTCTCCTTCTCTTTCTCTTCCTCTTCTTTTTTCTTCTCTTCTCTTTTCTTTCATCTTACTCTGTCACTCAGGCTGGAGTGCAGTGGTACAATCTTGGCTCACTGCAACCTCTGCCTCCCAAGCTCAAGTCATCCTTCCTCCCCAGCCTCCCCAGTAGCTGGGACTACAGGCGCACACCACCATACCCGCCTAATTTTTTATCTTCTGGTAGAGATGAGGTTGCACCGTGTTGGCCTGGCTGGTCTCAAACTTCTGACCTCAGGTGAACTGCTTGCCTCAGCCTCCCAAAGTGCTGGGATTATAGGCAGGAGCCGTTATTCCTGGCCTCCCTCCACACTTTAGAATAGAAGCTTCATGAGGACAGGCACCTTGACTAGCTTCTTAGCCCACCTTTGTATCACTAGCCTGTAACTAGCAAAGATTTCTTCATGGAAGGCCGGAATAGAAGTGAAGGAACAACCTGGTATCAGAAGATTTACATTCTTAATGCTGTGGGTTCACGGTATGACATTTGATAGTACACTGGATATTACTGGCATTCCTTTCCTCTCCTATTTAATCAGTAGGTTAAAGGATGTGTTCTAAAAGTTGTATTAATCTCTACAACTCTGCCCCTTTACAACCATATTCAGATTTAATGATTCGACTTTAATTTTCACCTTTTTGTGGGGCAGGTAAGTCGGTAACATTCCAATTTGTATTTAAGAGTCATTTCAGGAGTCAACTTTTTCACACTGCCTTATCTTTTTAATATTTTGGTGTGATTTTGTTCTTGGATCCAAAGGACTGTTTTTAAAAAGGCATTCCAAATTTGTAGGCATTCAAGATTAAGAAGTCCTTTCTGTGTTATTCTCTCCTCCATCCCCTCCCTCTCTTGAACCTTCTCAGCAGTCTCCTTTCATTCTGTGTTCCAACCCTCCAAAACCATGTTTGAGAATCTATGCCTGTTTGGTTGTTCTATCAACATTCTCCTGGTGGTTTGCCACCAAGGTTGGATCCAGACCTGAAGCCACTTGATTTAATTAACCTGAGGTAGCATCATCTGCTTTGCTTCTCTGCATTGGAAGGGTATGTTCCTCCATTCTCTTGTGCTTTTCCTGTACCTCCTGAACCAGGTAGTCTTTTTTTTTTACTGGGCCTTGAAACTGACTTTTCTTTAGTCACCTCGTGGTCAAGACATGCACTGTTCACCAGCTTTTCAGTCTTGATTAGCCAGCCTGGCTCAGTGTGGCAGGCCCCCCAGGACCAATCATTGCCCAGGTGTGCTGGACCTGAGCAGCCTCGGAGGCCCACCTTCCTTCCTTTTATTTCCTGGACTCCTTGCTGTGTTGCTGTGTATGGAAGCATGTCAGAATCATAGAGATTTTGTCTTCTTTTTTGCCCATTTCAAAAGTTCTAGATGTCTAGCGTTTGAGCACTAAAATCAAATTCCTTTGGATGGTGTTGAGTTTCCACTCATGCTATGGCCTCTGCCCATTAGACAAGAGTTTATCCTTTGTTTTCCCCTCCAGCGTTCCAAGCCCAAATTCTGGCACGACCCCGAACTCTCCAAGCTTCTGACACCTCTGTGCCTTTGCAGATGCTAGCCTCATTCTGCAAAATACCTTCGTCTTTGCTCACTCTTTCCCCCACTCCCAGGCTCATTTAATTTATTTCATTTTTGAAAAGGCTTTCCCCTCTCCTCCTATTTGGTACACCCCTCCACTGAAGCACAAATGTTGCTGGGTTGTAGCTAATGGCTGACTTAAGGCCTTTGAGGCTGGCAATGTTGTATTTACCTCTCTGTGCTCAGTGCTAGATGCTGAGTAGGTGCTGAGTGCATGACAGAAGAAAGTGATAGAGGGAAGAAGGAAAGAGCAAGAAGGAGGAAGAGGACACATCCTTCATTTGCAGAGCCATGCATAATGGGATCCCCAGGTTACTGACCTTCTCTTGAAAACTTTCTCCCCCGCCCCCACCCCCACCCCTGGAGCTGGTTCCCTTTTCCTTGTGACACTTTGCTCTCAAAGATCACTGAGTCGTTCAGCAATCCTCCTGATTTCTCTCAATTAAGTGTTCATCTCTGCGCTGTGTCCTCCCTGCAGGAGAGATTGCTGTCAGAAAGGCAATCAGTGAGAACCCCAACTGAGCCCTACCTCCCTTACCAAACAAGTTCATGGCCAAGCCATTTTTATTTAGCAAATAAGGGCTTGTTTTCCTTGATTGTCCATAAGCACAAGGGGGAAAAAAATCACCCATTGGCTTCATGCTTACCTGCGCTGCGGGGCTGTCTTGTCTGTTTCAGTTCTGTTTCACGTGGAGTTTTCACTGATTTCAAGAAAGAATGTATGCATGGAGTTGTGCAGGATACAGTATCCTGAATGAGGGCTGAATGTTCTGCAGGAGAAGTGAGCATATCAAGTCTTTGTAACTAAGAACGTAATGTTAGATTGTAGCTGAGGGGAAAAAACACAGATGGCTTGAGTTGTCTCTAAATAGTGGGTCTGCCAGGTGAAATCTTAGATGTTGCTTTCAAACGACACTAATGATTTCTTTCAGTGCTGGTTAGCATGAGTGGTCATTGCAAAGCGCTGTGACCACTGTAATGCCCAGTATGGTGCCCACTGGTCCCAAGTGGCTCTTGAGCACTTGAAATATGGGTAGTCTATGTGGAGATGTGGAAAATACAAACTGGATTTTAAAGACTTAGTAGACTTAGTATTTTGAAAGTGCAAAATAGATCATTGACAATTTTATGTTGATTATACATACATTAATTTTACTTGTTATATTTTACCATTTTTAAGTGCAGCTACTAAAAATTTAAAATTCTGTATGTTGCTTACATTATATTCCTCTTGGACAGCACTATACTAACGGCATAAATGTAAGATTGTGTTTCAGAGGGCACCCGAGCACTGCTTGGTTTATATGTATTTTCTAGGCCTTCCCTTTGGTTCCCTGGGTTACCTTTAAAAATACATGTCATGATATAGACATGGCATATCTGAGACAAACCTCAGACTGAGACTAACCTTGGACTGAGACAAACCTGAGTTTCTGTCTCAATTCTTTGTTTGTGGCTTGCCTCTCAGCATCTTAAATTCTCTGAATCTTAAGTTCCTCCACTGTGTAAAAGAAATAATATCCCTCTGACCTCACTGTGGTTAGGCAAGAGACAATGCAGTGATTTTTCCAGTAATATTATGAGACATCTTATTACTATAATTAAATGATTGTGTTTTCCCCAGATTGACAAATTCAAATTTTCTATTTTGAAATCTTACTGCAAATGTTAAAAAAAACAAACAACCTACCCTTTGGCTCCTGGTACGTCTTCCAGCTGCTAGTAATAGAATTGTGACAGCTCATGTTGCCTCAGAGCTATGGGGAACCAGGCAGTGCGCTTTTCAGGAACTGTCTTTATCCTCACAACAATCCCGAAAGAAAAAACCCATTCTTACCTCCATTTAATAGCTGCAGTGACTGAGGCACCGCAAGGTTAGGTGACTTGCCCAAGGTCACACAGCGAAGCACTGAGCCCGGGCAGTCCAGCTCTAGAGCCGTGTTCTTTGCCTCTGCCCAGTATTGTCCACCAGTGAGGAGAAGACAGAACCAAAGAACCAACAGCCAGTGAATACTTACAGGAATCATGGCTTTCATGGACGTCTATTCTTGTGATTTGACAGTGTATATGTGGGATACTTCCTCTTAGAATGCTTTTTCGGTTCATACAGTAGGCTTAAATATGTCATGGTTTTAGAGTTTTCCTTAAGGAATACGTTGATTCCCAGGCACATTACAGTCTGAATCAGTCTTAAGAAATTCCGGGATAGAGGAGGAAGAAGTTTGAGTGATCAGTTGTGCAGCATGGTGACTGCAGTTAACGATAATGTATTATATATTTCAGAATTGCTGAAAGAGGAGATTTCAAATGTTCTCACCACACCCACACACACACAAAAAATAAGTTGGTGAGGTGATGGACGTACCAACTAGCTTAATTTAATTTTTCTCAAAACATCACATTATCCTTCATAAATACATTCAATTATTATTAGTCAATTGCAAAAAAAAAAAAAAAAAAAAGAGTGCAAAGGGGAAACACAAAATTCCATAGAGTTATATGAGAACAAATAGATTACCCAATATCTAGACCACAATAAATGTTTGCTTTGTGTTTGAGGGCCTTGTGTCAATTGTACATAATCACTATGGACCTAGTATACTACGTGTCATATATGTATAGCAAGGGCCCAATAAATGTTATTGATTAATGTTTATTGCCGTACCTCTGAAAACACACCTTTAGAAAGGCAAGTATACAGTATTTACAATTTACTGTCATTTATTCCATTAGGTTGTCTGACTTGTGATGTGGAGGTGCTATCTCATCAGGTATGATTGTCTCTTAGAATAATTCCCTTTGATCAGAGTGGAGCTTTGAGTGCATTTATTTTGTTAAGCTGGAATCCACCTCTTTAGGTTAATGTGACACACCTCCACCCCAGCAGCTACAACAGGGCCATTCCATGATGTGTATCTTCAGTTGTCATTTCATGTTTAACCAAGAGGATTAGAAGGCATTGATGTATTAATAGCTTTTTTTTTTTTTTCAAGCATGGTACTAATTCATAGATGGGGTCAAGATGATTGCGGGGGGGTGGTGGGGGCAGGCTGTGGTCAAAGTTCAAAGCCTTCCAGTCATTTAGAAAGTTGAAATGTGCTTGGTGCTGGGCTAGAATCATTAGGAGGAAATAGCTGCAAACCTGGAAACGTCCCTAGAGAATACTTAATTCAAGAATAAAGGTTTGGATTGATGAGGGCTAAAATAAAACTTGGCAGCGACAGCGTTCTAGTAACTTTTAGCCACTTCTCCCCGTCCCACTGGGGTGTTCCTGCTGGTATATTCACTAGCCTGAGCTCTGCTCCTGAGAGGCCTGCAGGAGCTGGGTGGGTTGGGAGACACAGGTGTGTGGGAGGCGCCTTCAGCAAGCGCCGCACAATTGCCAGATACCCCTCTGCGCCTTTAACTGGTCGGCAAACAGAAAGCAGGATGTGCTTATCTGAATAGTGACAACAGTTGCAAGCACTCAGTCACAAAGTTCAGCATTCTGGCTTTAGATGGGCCAGCGTGGGGTTCTGGAAGCTGGTGACTTGGGAGTGCCTGCCATGCACATGGGTGGGGAAGGGACGGAAAGTTTGGCAAGGACTTGCTGAGTTATTAGGCAAAGACTCTGTAAGTGCGTCAGAATGGGAAGGCAGCTCAGAACCTTTCCACTCCACCCTTTTTGTGTTGGACATAGGTAAACTGAGGCCAGCGAACAGGAATGTGTGTTTGAAGCTAACTTCTGTCACTGAGTCGTGTGCCAGGCCGTGGGTTCACTGCCTTCTGAGTGTTCTCTCTTTTAATCTCTGCCACAGCTCTGTGGGGTAAGCTCTGGTGTTATACCCATTTTTCAGATAAGGAAACAAGAGCCTCAAAGAGTCAGGTTACTTCCTCAAGGTCATAGAACTAGTAAGTCACAGACCCACGGCACAGGAGTAGGTCTGTCTGTCAGAGCCACAGCTGTCCCCCACACTCCGGGGCCTCCTCCACAAAGTGGTTTCAGGTGGGGCTCAGCCCGCCTCTGGGGAACGCATTCATATACTGTGCAAGGTTTCACAGGTGTGTGAATTCATTTTCCATTGCTGTGTAATAAATTACCACAAACTTAATAGCGTCAAACACATATCTGTCATTCCACAGTTTCTGTGGAGGCCAGGCCTGGTTTTCCTGAGTCCTGTGCTCAGAGTCTCACAAATCTGTACTCGGGGGTCAGCCTGATTACGGTCTCACCTGAGGCTTGGGATCCCCTTCCAAACTCACTAGCTGTTGGTGGAATTCAGTTCATGCAGGGAGAGCACCGAGGCTGCAAGCTCATGGAGACCACCCACTGTTTCCTATGTGTGGCCGTCTTCTCCACAACACGGCCCTTTGCTTCTTCAAAACTCAACCAAAGAATCTCTTGTCTTCAGCAACAGCCTCCAACCCGCTTTGAAAGGGCTCACCTAATTAGGCCAGGCCCACAGAGGAAAAGCTCTCTTTTGATTAACTCAGAGTCAACTGATTAGGGACTTTATACCTGCAAAATCTCTTTTGCCACACAGCATAACTTAATCAAAGGAATGTATTCCATCCCATTCACGGATCCTACCCATACTCAAGGGAAGGCCATAATACAAGCATATGGTCATTAGGGGCCATCTTAGTCACTGCTGTTCATGGATCGTTCTCCAGCTTCCTGGAGGAGAGGAGAGCAGCAGACAGAGCTAGGAGTGTTTGTAAAACAGCGCAGTGGGAAAAGGTAGTCTTGTGAGTAGTAGGCTACTTAAGATGCCTAGTGGGTCGAAATGTCAAATTCTATTGGCAGGTTTTCTGTGCAAGGTATGACCAAAAAATAATTATTTCATTAACTTCGTGGAAAAAAAAAAAGTTGTACACATGCATCCTCTCAACTAAAGGGAGTTCATTTTGCCAAACTATTGGACTTCATACCTGTGTCTTTCTGTCTAGTGCAGAGATGGCTATATCCCTTGCCCTCGAAATTTCCCTTCGTGTTTCTTCCAAAGTGGTTACTTTTACAAACTCCTTAATAAAAAAGAAGGAAGGGACACATTTAGTGGCCTTTGGGCAGGCAGGCAGATGAGCGGCATTCAGAATCTCTTCGTCCTGTTTCCCCCCAATCACAAGTGCTCCCCCAACCCAGCCTTGTTCCCACATTGAACTAGGCAGTCTTTCTATGATGTGAATCCTGACGCGCGTAGTGAAAGCTGCCGATTCAACTTCTGTGGGTGAGAGTCTGGGTCTTGACAAAAGAAGACCAAGAAAATACAGCCTAAATGTCCACTCACGACATGTACCTTACAAGAACTTGGCTGTATTAATCTCTCAAAGAAGTCTGTGCTCCCAGGTAGCAGTATTCCCATTTTACAGCTGAGAAGGCTGAGACTCAGACGAGTTAAATAACTGGCTCTTTGTTACATGGTAACAAGGAGCTAAGCAGGAATTTGCACCCAGGTGTGACAGGTGCTAAAGCCAGTGCTCTTAAACCAGCAAGGTAAGCAGCTGGAATATTGGCGATGATTTTGAGACTTGGAGCCTACTCTTGACCCCCATATGCCTTCCCTTTGTCTTTCCAATATTCCAAATATCTTACAGTCTATGAAGTTGAAAGATGGGGACATTGCAACTAGCTTCACAGAGCTAGTATCCTGGGGAATAGAAAAAGAGGAAAAAAGAGACCGTAATGGGGTAGACAAGAAAACACCACCATGCCACACTGTTAATGTTGAACTAGAGGAAAACTCTATTACAAACGATACTTCTAATCTGCTTGCGGTAAAGATTCATAACTGGAAAATAAGCATGTGACAGTTCTTCATTTGAGTGTAAACTTAACTCATTAATTTAAATTAGATGTTTTTTTTAACAAAGGGGAAATTCTAGTAATAATAATAAGTAATAGCTCTTGTAGAGAATGTAAAAAGATGTTACAAATTTGTGCTTTGGGAAGTTGGAGAATGTTAAGGATTAATTTTCACTCACAAAGATCAAAAAGGTCTCGATGAGTAAGATAAGTATCGAGTTTCAGGGTTGTTGTGTTTTTTTCGCCTCCTGCCAGACTGTCTGAAACTTATCTCAAGTATCATGGTAAAAAGAGAAGTGGTGGATAGACACAAAAATGTAATAGATATATTCTAGGGGTAGAATATGAACTGCCTTTCTAAATGCATATCAGAAGGAGAATGTATTCCAGTTGAGTAGGTTTAATGATATAATTTTACCGTATTAAATCATAATTGCTCTTTAAAGGAAAATAGAGATGCATGCATTGCCACTGCCGGGGCATCCCACTCCATCCAAACAGCGTCCTCCCTAGTACTTGTTGATTTCGCCCTTATCTCACAGCAGAGCCGATCTGTGGCTTTCCTTTGGAAATTGGGTGGGGAGAAAGGAAAAGAAGGAAGAATAGTCTGAGCATCGGAATCTGCGTCAGGCAATTGCCACGGCTTTAGCAAAATCATTTCCTGCTATTAGGCTGCCAACCAAACGCTTTCAAATGGATGGCAGCTCTGATTTTTGTGGAACCAAATTATTTTTCAAAATTAGACCATGTATCAAGATGATCCAGATACCTGGATTAGCGAGGCACTAAAATATTTGTATTGTTATGGATGTTGATAATTATTTTAGTAAATTCTCGTGGCTGCTTTTATTGTTAAATGATTTCCAATCCTGTCGCATTCTCTTTTCTCCTCCCCACCAAAAATAAGAAAAGGGAGAGGAGAGAATGAAAGAGAAGATGAAAACATGCATTGATTGCATATATGGATGAAAACAGAGTTGAAGTCAGGCGTTTAGTTTTAACAGAATCTGATTTTACATCATGAGCTGAATTAGATGGAGGCATAATTCATCTATGATTTTATCGGCTATACCTTCCATATCTGTCTTTTTTTTAATAGCACACAAAATAATACTGAGCTTATTTGACTGATAAAAGTCATAAATGTAGTTTTTAAAAATATTTTTATATCTTTTTTAAAAATAGTTGATACATAAAAAAGAATATACCATATTTCATTGGGCCTTCTGTAGGCCCTTTATCTTATAAACCAGTAATAAAGTAAAAATGCAGCCAAGCTAGTTAGCACATAATGCTTTCTTATCTCGTGTATTTTAAGAGGCATCCCAATTTTAGAGATGTTAAAATGGAAAGAAAAAAAACAGTATACCTTAGACTCTATTAAATACAGTATACAACATTGCTGGTGAGTTATAAAGCATAATGTAAGAAACATTTATGAATACCCTCCCTCTCAATCCAAGAACCGTTCATTACTTATAACTTGCCTTTCCTC